AATAAGTATGGAAAATGAGTTGCTAGTGCTATTCAAAATGTTAACAATATAAATTGAATTTAATCGGAAATATATTTAGAAGTAAAGAGTACATGCTACATTTCTTATGACTTTATAAGAAAGTTATTTTGATCCTTTTGAAACACTGAAAATAGGTAGATATTTCTCTCTGTGCACAAAATTCACAAGGTAAACGGGCACGACAACGGGGACAAGTCTCCTGCTTGACGACAATCAATCAATATTTATGTCCTCAGGCAGGATTGTAGGTGGCTGTCAAAACTTGCCTCAGTCTATATATAGACGTGTATCTTATAGATACTTTGTACCCCAAACCAGCAGCTGTGATTGTTGGTAGCTGTTGTGGCACTCTAATGATAATGACAATGGCAATAATAGTCAGAACAACAAGGACGCCCAAGGACGAGGATTTTCCAGCCATCTCCTGCCAATCTAAGGCGTCTTGTTCTGGAACTTTTGTCATTTACACTTTGCAGATTTATGTTTATCCGCTCGACAGGCTTTGGCATCCTACAGTTCTTTCCCGCTCCCCTTCGTCTTCTTTGGAAAATCCTTTGATTGATGTCCAGACTAAGCTAATTACGTGACTCAAGAAGTGGCCCGGGCCCAGAGACAAACTTAAGCTGAGGTATCCAAAAACTTTTACCCTGGCAAGTGGCGCGATTAATTGATTATTTTCAAGGGTGCCAAACAAAGCACTCAACTCGAGGGTATAATAACAATAATAGCAAAAATAATAGTCTTGAGGTGCTGTCATCATAATGTTTATAACATTTCTCTCATCTCTCTCGCCTGCCAGGCGTTGGCAGAGATTACGCATTAAATAAATCATCAGCCTACGGGGCGCGTTGATGTTCCTAACACTTCACTTTGACCCGGAGACTGGTGAATAGAGACTGGAGTGGAGAACAGAGCTTCGGAGTCGAGATTTATTGTAAATAAGCATGATTATCATAGCATCACGTATACGCCATGCTGTTCGCGGAGGCAAAGGCAGACAAACAATTGAGATGCTGATGGCAAGGCCAGCATTTCAAGTATAATTAGCAGTGGGCAAACAAAGGTCTGAGCGAAGGCATTACTTTTTATTTCTATATAATAGAAGTTCCTATTTTGTGTTAGTCCGTCTTTGAGGATTCATTCACTCATTATTAGATTCCTCTTGGGCACCACAACGTGCTTGATAATTTGGAAAAATATTCAGTGAAAATGCACAAAAAATGTGATATCTCACTTAAAGTAAGTGCTTTTGATTACTTTTAATCCCCTTGTATAACCGCTATGATGAAAAATGCTTAAAAGTCAAACATAGGCTTAGGTTTGGATTACGATGCACCAAGAACTTAACAAAAGTGAAATCAAATAACAGTAACTTATTAGCCAAGAATGAAATGCAAGTAGTTTAGATATCTCCACATGGCATGGCAGTATGCTGCATTGCGCTAAACCCAATATCACATTCAGACCCTGTCACAACTTGACTTGAATCTGAGCCGGAGCCTGAGTCTGCTGTCTGGCTGTCTTCTCTCGCTTCGCGTAACCTCAATGTGTTGCCAGAGCCCATCAGAGTCAGCCTTGTGTCCTTGGCATCCTGCGCCCTATTTCTGGGCGACCACCACCCACCACATCACCGCCCACCGCCCTTTTAGCCACTCCTCTAACCACCCGAAACGGCAGCTTTGGTCGCATTACTGTGGCGCTTAAAAGGTTAAAACGTTTTTGACTTTGAGCATCGTCGTCTGCAGCCAGCAAATCGTCTAATGAAAGCGACTTTCGCAAATGAAATAATTCCGCTGCCTTTTTTCCGCGGTTGTTGTGCTTTTCGTTTTCCATTTGTGTATGTATGGATGGCAGAAGGGGCGGGGTTTGTGCCATTTTAATTGAGCCAGTTTGTTTAATTAAACATTGAAATTTGAAAATTATAAAGTCAAATATTTCAAACCGCTGCGATGGCGTTGAAATGGAATGTGGCGGCAAGGTGAGATTTTCTGTCTGGAAAGGCAGAGGATTTAATTTAATTTAGCTTAAAGGTGAGTTTAAAGTTAATTTAAATCAGGTATTTCTAAACTTTTCTGTTTGTCAGTACGACTTCCTGAACAACATCTAATATAGGAAATAATTTTCAGAAATTTTATTCGGAGTCTTTGCCGTGTAAGACACTTCACAAAATCTCATCATACGCAAATTACGCGCATTTTAAGGTTCATTGCTGGTCAAATGACCTAGAGAAGGGCCCAAACTGCTCGTTAGATGGAGCCAGTGAACTTTGTGGCAACGAAAGGAATTGCCAACTGTAATAAACTCCTCTCAAACTTGACCCAGTCCGTGGTCCAGTTCCGTAGTCCAATCTAGGCAGAGTTACCTGTTGCCAGAAAAAGAGAAAAATACTTTAAGTCATTTACGATTCGCCCTGGTTTTCTATGGTTTTTCTTTTTCATTTTTCACTTTTCGCTCTAGCTTTCCTCTCTGGGCAAACGACATTCATAATTTTTATTTACTTTCCTTCTCTCATTTTCGTTCTGCCCTTGGTTTTCCTTTTGCATTTTTATGCTCACTCCCTCGGCGACATGGCGCGTACCACATTTCGTATACTTAATGAGATTTTTCGCAGACATATTTGCAATTTGGTAAGACCAGCGTGTAAAAGTTGGGACCGCAAAATATTCCATTCCTCCGCCGGCGTCTTTGGTTCAATTTGAAAGTTTCCCTTCAGTTAAACCCAGAAGCAACAAAAACTAATTACAATCTCAAGTTGTTTTTTCAACACTCGGCCAACCCGCACTGAACTTAAAGCTAAATGTTGCTGGGGTTATAGGAAAGAAAGCAGAAAAAAGAAGAAATCATTTAAAAAAGTGCAGCAGTGCGAAGTCGCGTTTCCAGTTTAATTTTAGTTTTTCCAAGTATTTCTCGTTAGCTGCTTATTCTTATTCGTATTCTTGAAGCTGTTTTGTTTGTATTTTCCACTTGGCACTTTGTGCGCGATTTTATTCTTCTTCTCCTTGCTGCAAATTGCACCTCTGTGATTATGGCCACTTGGCATCGCCTTCGCCGGAGCCTTGTTACTCCATTTGGCCATTTAAGAGGTGTTCTCGGGACGGTGGCTCTAATGACATTCTTTCCCCCAAGCGAAATGCACTAGACAATGTCCATTAGGGGCCATGCCTAGCTCGTTGGGCACGAACCCAAGACAACTTCAGCCAATTCGCAATTGGCCGGTGAATGAGCAGCTGCCGGGATTCCAGATGGAGATCCTCGGCGTAAGATGGCTGCGGAACATCCTTCAAAATTTGCAGCTAATCTCTGCCAGCAGGCCGGGGGAACATCTCCCGCTGGGCCAGTCCAATTGGAAACTCCCTGTTGGTGGCCTCTGCTCTAGGAATTTGTTTATACACATCGAGAAACTTGGTGTTTTTTTAGTTTGATGGAAACTAATATAAATATAGTTAATATCTATAATGTAACTATATATAGATAGTAACTATACAAAATATATTGAAACGAATGAAAATAATCCTGACCTCTATAACACTCCAAATTAAAAAAAAAACGGTGAAATTTTCTGTTGGTGCAGCTCCCAATGAAATTGTGTTGCGTCATTATTCAAAATGTCAATGTCATTTCATTTTCTTGTGCTCTCTAGCAGGCTCCTCGCTCGTTCGGTGACACTGCAGACTCGGTTTTTGGTGGCTGAAGTCTCAACTCACTGCACTGACAGCTGATGATTTTGGAAGGATAATGGAGGGGTTTCCTCCCTAGATGCCCTGGTGTTTGTCATGCTTAACTGCTGCTGCTTCTGCTGCTGATGCTGCTTTTGAGGCCTTCTGACAGCCTTCCAGTTTAAAGTTTCATCGAGAGTTGTGAACAATGGCCTGGTCGCTGGCCTGTATTCCATTGCCATTTACGGGCCTGCCTTAAATCATAAACCCAATATTAGCTTTTCCGGACATTTCAGCCACTTGTGTCCCTTTTCGTTTTTCGTATTTACTTGCTATTTGCCAAGAGGTCCGAAACGACCATCAATTTATTTAACAAATGACAAACGCTTTGCAAATCAAACAACAATAACTAATAGACTGTTTGTTCCCAGTCGGTTATTTTTGTTTTTTGTTGTGTTGTACCAGTTATTTAGTACAAATGGGCCCGAGGGTTGCTTATCTTTGAGACCAGACCCGAACAAAAGGGCCGCTTGTGGGGGATCGGGTTTTATAATCAGACAGCCACAGTAATGCACCATCGAAAATGGGATATATATATATACTCGTATGCATAAAATACGTATGCAGTATAGCTAATAACCGATTTGCGTGCAAAACGCACATTAACAAAGCCGGAGGTCGTATTTAGCCGTCGGCATTGCTGCCTTTATCGCTCAGGCATTGTGTTTGCCAGGGGAACAATGCAATATATGATAAACATTTATTAAGTTTTCGGTTAGGGAAGTCCTTTCAGCAAACTAGTTGCATTAGTGGATGTGTGATGTAAGTTATGAGAGTAAATAAATTCAGGAAAAAGACGATCTTTTAACAAACAGGTATTCATTTTAGTTAGTTACCTTTTTGGCTTAACAAATTCCTTAAATATTATATAGGAAAGTAAGTTAATATACATGAAAAATGATTAATTAAAGGTAAACGTTTAGAAGTTACTCAGAAGCGGATACATGAACCACTGAGCGCTGTCTCTCTATCACACGATCAAAGCTTTGCGACCAACCAACTGTAAGCTTAGCAAAGACTCCCACCCCCAACGATCTCTTCCCACCTGTCACCTAGTAATGTAGGAACAGCCATCGCCACAGAAGTCAGACCACTCCACTTACTATTTTTGATCTTTTAGACGGGTCGTTTAGACCGCTTTATAAATGCGGCTTAAACAAGAGACGCCTCTGCCGACGTCGCAGTCGATATGGCCGATGCTATTTTCGAATTGGGCGATCTGTCAGCGCTACGAAGTCGGTTTTGTTAAGTTGATCAGTTGAATTCACGTCGTCGCCGAGTCAAGAAGCAAAACGCGGAAACGGTTGAGCGAACCCGAAGCCGAGAACCTGAGCTGAGTGTTAAGATACGAGTACTTTAAGTGCGGTTCTCTTATTTGTTTTGACATAAATCAGAGCAATTTGCAGATCGTTTTTTGCGAGGCGTTGTGAATGAGCCAACCTAAGCGGCGATTATTGTGCAGTGTACAGCTTTCAAATCCATCTCAGAGTGTGGTAATTTTTCAGTTGGCTAATTGTGCAAGTAAAACAAAAATTCAAAACAACAACCACGCTTCGTCTAGTCGTCTGTCTCTGTGTGTGCTGTGTGTGTGAGTTTCTGGTGGTTCCACTGTATCTGTGTCCGCTCAATCTTTGCTCAATCGCAATCTTTGGGCATTGCCAAAACAGGTTAACTAAAAGCAAACGTGTTCTTTACTTTTCTGTTGACTTTGCCAGCCGCAAAGCCAAAACTTAGTCAGCAAAAAATATAAATAAAAAAAATCAAGAAACAAAAATTACAAGGAAAATCAATAACAGCAAATTGTTGCCACAGTTCCTGCAATCCGTGGTTTTCCGTCGGAATACATAAAGAGCAGCTGCAGCGAGTCGAAGAACTTCAAGGAGTACAGGTAACCGCAGGCCAATGGCCTCTTTCCCATTAAAATGCCAAGGGCTCGAGTGGATGCTGCGGGGAATTCCCCACTTAACCAGCTCAAGGATGCCCAGATAATGCAGGGCTTCGCATTCCCAAAAGAAAAAAACCAAAAAGAAAAAAGAAGCAGCTTCGTCAACGACCTGCTCCAATTCGATTTATGCAGTCCAAGGTCAACAGCAACGGCTTTAAAATGCAAACTCAGCCGAAGTTGAATCTCCAAATGAATGCGATGTTGCTGCTGCTGCTTCTGCTTCTGTTGCCTGCTGTCTCTTTTGTCTGAAGTTTTTTTCAATTTTTCAGCTCGACCCGACTTTTGTTATACTTTGTTAAAAGCGTCGAAGCAAAAACAGGTGTATTTAAAGAAAGGCAGAAAAAAACTTAGATATTTACAAACTTATATTAAAATAATGTATAAAAAATATATTTTAATTGGTTTATGGAAAAGGAATATTGATATATAGAGCTAATATTTAACTTTTACTACTTCTTGCTTACCAAATGAAACGCGAAATATTGAGAAGAGATGAATACAAATTATTATCTAAAACCTGACATTTTATGAATATTTTCCTAGGCTTTTTAAGTTAGTTTCTTACAGTCTCTCTATAAAATACTAGACTAATTTCTTCTTCTTATAACTTGTGCATACATCTGCTGTCCTTCAATGAAAGGCCCATAACTCCGGCTCTTTCACAGTTGTTTGTAATTATTTAATATGCTGCCTCTAACCGGGTACTTAACCTTTTCAAAATTTACCCACAAACCGCAACAATGAGGGTTGCCACAACAACAATAACCGGGGTGGCCGCGTTACTTGGCACAATTAAAACCGCAAAACTCAACTCGTTAGTTAACTTTGACCTGCTAAGCAAAAAAGAAATATAATACGAATAATAAAAAACACTGAAACCCAACTGCACCCACAAAGTTTAGTGATTAAACTTAAAGAGGAGGCCTTAAAAAAGATGGCATTAAATCCTGACTAATTCATATGCGATGGTTTAACTAATGAAAAATTATGTAATTAATGTTGGTCAAGGCGCACACTCTTGGGTCTGCTTAAATTAATTATTTCACATGAGTTGCACAAAACTGGAAGCCAAGTGACTCACTTAATAAGGCATTATACTTTATTGCGATTTTTTCTCATTTCTGCAGGGGGGACCATAAAATCGATGAGAAATATGTAGATCCAAGGCAAAGTTCTTAGAGATCTTGCAAGTCAGAATGAGAACGACACAAAACACGCTTTTCGGATTTTATTAAAAATCAACTTTGTCCATAACAACTCAATAAAAAATGACTGACTGGCCAACGGCTTTGTCAGGCCATGAGTAATAAAATTCCCATTCATCAACTGCCAATTCCATTGAGCGGAAATTAAATAAAACTTTTCCAGGGCTTTCGGGGCATTTTTTTCGCTAAATTAAAATAATTCTGCTTAAATTGCTAATTGTTTTTGGCCAAAAATTCTAATTAGTGCATCCGTGTTCAATTTGAAGCACTCGTTAGCTGCCAATTGCCGATGGCAATAAATTGCATTTACCATTTCGGCACTTGTTTGGGGCTTTTTAAAGTGCAATTAACGCCAAGCTGATGCACAATTATTTATTTATATATGGAATGTTTTTTGTTTATACTCGAATTTTTTTTTGTCAAGCTTTGACAACACTTTTCCAGGGGGAAGCGGGGAAGCGCTTTTATTGAGTTTGTCAAGGTGCATCGTCGTTTTGGCCATTTGTTACATTTGCATGCCATCCACCGGATGCACATGTAATGGCAATTGATTTACAAGCCATGTGAATCGATATAAGCCGAGTGCAAAAAATTATACCCAATGTATATAAATATATATATGTGTATATAATTATTCAATTAAACGACCGCACTGCGAGCCAAAGGTAACCGCCAATAAAAATATTCATCGAAATACAAAAAAATGTATTTTCCTTTTCATTTATATGGCGTTTTTTGTAGGATTTTCCGGCATGAGACATGGAGCCACGAATGCAATCAAAGTCGTACTTTATGGAAACGGCAAAAAATTAAAAAACGACAGCCAAAAGTCTGGGCAAAATTTAATTTATTTGTTTGATTTTATTTGCAAAAAGTGTCAGATAACTGAAAAACATCATAATAAATGAGCAGCGCGTGAGAAGCCAAAGAATGCTCTTTATTAAAAAGGTACATACATGAATGTTAGAATATGTTTGCCCTTATAAATATTTAAATGTTTAAATTTACATTTAAATGGGAAATGCATAATTTACATCTTGCGACTCTAAACTTATTGTCTAAGAATATATCATAAACTTTTGCCATCAAGCCGTCTAGGCCGTAACAAGTCTTGTTGCCCTACTTTTCGCTGTCTTGGCCCGTTAATAAATATCAATAAAATCAATTTGCACATTTCCAAACGCACAAATCAGTCGAGTTTAATTATTGTAAATAGCATTTGAGCAAGGAAGTAAAATCAATTATGCAAATGCCCCTAACAAAGTTATGAAACATGTTGGAAAAATGGCCGGAATAAAATAGACTTCGATGTTGATGGGAAATCAATGGATTCGCCGATAAACATAAACAGTCAACGGCAAAGGCAACGGCAACGAACGTAGATTTTCCAACTCATCGCTTTTTTATGCCGCCAAAAATGTTCATGAGAATATGCAAAGTTTCTTTTCTCTTCATATTTGCAACGTTTATCCGACTTCCTCCGACAGCCGACAAACACTAACAGTAATAAGCCACTTGTAAGGCAGCAATAATGTAGATCTATGGGCCAGATAGATATACAGGGCCCTCCTTTTGACACATTTGCATAATCTCAGGCAAATCTTTGGTAACAAGTAATCGAAAATAAATTTGCATAACAAATGCCAGCTTAGGAGAGCCAGTGTCAGTGGGAAAAATGAGACATAATCTGAGCGGCTCCTTGCCACAACACTCAATAAAATCTATACAGATGCAAAAAATAAAAACAAAAATAAAATAAAATACGCACCTATCAGGTCTGACGAATTTCTGCATTGAAGCGCATTGAAATTTAATCAGAATTTAAATTGAAATTTCCCAGAAGCAAAACGAGACGAAAGGTCGCCAGCATTCGAATATATACATATGTAGATATATTTTGCATACTTATTTGTATATCAGCAAATAGAACAAACAGCGGCCTCCAGGCAGTAAAAAATAAAAGAAACAAAGACACCGCTCCGGTGCCGAGTAATTGCCAAATGTTTACGCACATATGTACGAGTAATATTTGCATATAAACAGGCATATGTAGCCGCTTTTCATTCCGACATTGCAACGCTTTTTTAGGGCTCCCCCATTTGCATTTCATTTCAAAGCTTGTTTTTCAGATATTCCTGTTCTTTTTTACTTGTTTTTGGGTTTTTTTTTGGCGGAGGGAATCGGTCTCCTAGGGGCATACGGAATATGAAGTGCCAAACGATGGGCTCTGATTTCATTTGCCAAGCGGAATTCGGCCTCCTCTTTATTATTTTTTTTAAATGGAGAAGGAAATTGTGATGACATGATTTTCAAGGGTTTACAGATCGCTGACATTGAGAGAACACTTTATGGATGGGGATTGCAATTCGCAACACTTTAATTAATTTCCTTTTGTCTCTGGCTTAATTGAAAAGTGTACCAACCATCCGTCCATCGTACTGTTCATCATCATGCCAACAGGCGACTCCTTAAGTCACTCTGGACAGATTATTCCGGGTTAATGACTCTTTCAAGTGACACTTGAACGCTTCGCCCCAGCTAAAAGCCGCTTACAGTCTGGCCTTTTTGGTTAGTGGTCTTGCTAACAAAAAAAAAAAATAAAAGCAAAAAAGATATAGAAGTGAAGCAAGTAAAGCAGAATTCAGTTTGCGATTACTCACCCAGCAAAGTTGACTAAGCAACTAAGCTGGGAGCTGAAAGCCATGGCTTGAAATTGGATCACAGTTTTACCCTGCCATCTATTTTTCATTTTTTTGGCAGTGTTTGTTTTTGGCCGAAAGCGCTCAACTGTTAAACTGAATAAAATGCAATGCCAGCGCATTTTTAATTGTTATTGCCATTGCTTTTATTGTTGTTGTTGGTCTGCCTGGCCGTTGGTGTTGACTAAATTTAGTTGAAAATACAGTTGAAAACGAGTGCGAACCTTGAAAATGAGCGTGGAAATCTGTGCATAATTGTTTGGAAAATGTTTGCACAATTCACACATCAAACTGTAAACCGAAACCAAAAGACTGCAGCTCGCATGAGGTCGTCTGTTAATTATTACAATAATATCACAATAGCGACTCTATAAAAGAATACAAATTAAATGCTGCTAGACGCTAGCCAGGCAAATGAATTACTGAGGCCTGCAAAAATATTAAAATCCCGTTTGTGTGACCCTCGTGTTTTTTCCGTTAGTTAAATCATAGCCAAACAATCGCTGGCGACAGACAGTGCAAACAAACACTGGCAAAAAAGCGAGAAATACAAAGCGTTTATCACCGATATTTATTTATGCCTTTATTGGGAAAGATACAGCTGAGTTCAGTCCGTAAAAAACGATAATTAACAAGCAATGTAAAATATAAACTAAGAATTAAAAACCTTTACTATTAAACACCTACGTAAAGTATGAACTTTAAAGATGTTCTTACAAAATTTATTCAAATTCCAAAATTATACAAGCCCTTTAAATTACTTCTATTATGGGAACCACAACTGTATGTACATTTGGATATGGAGACGAAGCGATGTGTATAAAAATGCAATCAAATAAATTTGTATTTTCATTTTTATGGTACAACAAAATGGCTTTTGACTTGTGCATTTCATGTGCATTTGACGCTCGTTTGGCTGTCCTTTTATTTATTTCTTTATTTTACTGTTTGAGGAGACCTCGGAGACCCTTTGTCGTGAATATATTTATTTTAGCCAATTAATTGTCGTTTCGATTGAACAACTTCTTCTTGCTTGCGC